CAAGGGGAGCAAGATGCTGCAGGAGAAACAGGCAGAGCTGAGCATCCCGCAGCACAAAATCATGCAGGATGTGGTGACTCAGTGAAACTCCACATACCTTATGCTTGAAAGGCTGGTGGAGCAACAGAAGGCCATCCATGAGATGGCCTTGCTTGGGGAGATTGGGAGCAACAGCCCCCTGAACAGAGCTGAGTGGGGTCCCATCTCCCAGATCCTGGTGGTCCTCAAGCCCTTCCTCGAGGCCACCAAGACCCTCAGCATTGGCGATGCCCTCCTCAGCCAGGTAATCCCTGTAGTGAGGGAACTGGAAAACCAAATGGAGAAGTTCCAGGGGATTGATGTTCCTGGCTGGGGAAGGCCACTGTCACCAAACATGCAGGCACTGGTGAGGCAGCTGAAGGAGGGCATCAGGAGATGGCTGGATCCCCTGTGGTCCACATGCTCGTGGACACATGCGACCCAAGGGTGAAGGGAAGCATGTGCACTGGCAGCACCAAAACCCTTGATTACTGGACACAGGTGCTGGTCAACAAAGTCAGGGAGGCAAAAGAACAGAGGTGAGGGGATGTGGAAGAAGGGGATCCACTTTCCCGTGCCAACACTCCCAGCACCACCACCAGCACCAGCCAGTCTCCTCCATGCCAGCCACTGCCAATGTGGGCCAAGGGTATTGTTTCAATGCTGGAGTCCAAATGCATCAGACCCCAGCCTTGGGCAGGTAGTGCCGAGGCTTCTGTGGCTACCTATCTTGCCAAGGATGTGGAGCCACTGGACTATGACCCCTTGGCCTACTGGGCAAGCCGCAGCCAGATGTGGCAGGATCTGCCCACAGTTGCCCAGCAACACCTGTCTTGTCCACCAATCAGTGTTCCAAGTGAGAGGGTGTTCAGCATTGCTAGGGATGTTGTGACACCCCACCGCACCTGCTTGGATCCTGGTTTGGTGGAGCAGCTGGTGTTCTTGAAAGTGAACTTCCCTCTGCTGGGGTACCCCAAGCTCTACCTGCAGATGGACTGAGTGCCACCTTCTTCACTCCATCTGCACCAATTTCTTTTTTCCATTTTTTAAAAAAACAGGTAATGCCCCACTCTCAGCTGGAGGGGGCACTCACTGCATCACCAGCCAGCAGGGAAAGAACATGTCTCTGCTGAGCTCGCTCCCTTGCCAGAATGAACTTGGAAGTATGGACTGAGGCTATGGGGAAGGAGGAGGCCCCAGGTCCTGGGCAAGACCACTAAAACTGCACCTTGCCAGGTAGGGAGGTCTGGTGGGACTGCTGGCAGTGCAGCAACCCTGTAAATTCCAGGACCAACAATCCCCTGGTGGAAGGCAGGTAGGAGGCGCCATAACCTCCAGCTAATGCACGCACACATACAGTCCTGGCTGGGGAAAGCCCAGACCTGTCATGTCTTTGGCAGGCCTGAGACTTGTTAGTTGCAGTGGAATTGTGAGGCTCCAGATGAGCTCAGTTTAGCTGTCTGGGATGCCAGCTTTTGCATTGAAAAGCCCTTTGTCAAGCTTAGGAAGCCCAAGCAGATGCGGCTGTGAAAAGTGGTTTATAAATTGTTCCCTCTCAGGATCTGGCCTGAGAGAGACTGGAGGCAGAGTGTTTTTTTTGGTGAGGAATGTGCCTCACGGGTAGTTGGGTATTGTTATCTTTGATAAATTCTGGTGTACAGTTTGTGGGGGGTATTGGATATATTTGGCAGGTTTTGTGTTTTGAGCTGTATGAAGTTGGCTTGAGTTCTGGTGATGAGGTAAGGTGCTTGTTTGAATTTACAAACCACTTTTCAGAGCCAGGCCTATGAACTTCACTTCTTCAGCCTCCTAGGTACAGAAACTCATGAACTCAATATAGACAGTGGATTCTGACACACTGCAACCTGCCAGACATCTGACTCTCCAGGTACCTTTGCATTTCTGCATGAGCTGTTACATCCCCCTTCCCTGCCCCAACTCCAGCCCTCACCCCCTGACGCCTACATTTCCATTTTCACTGACTGGCTTTCTTGCCTGCATTGCATGCCATGCCAGCCTCTGTTTTCTTTACTATTTCTTCCATCCAGGACCCGGAGACACACCAACTGCAGGTGCTTTCTCAGTCTGACAAAGGGTTTTTTAACCTGAAAGCTTCCTAAGATATATTTCTCTAACTATTCCGTTTTTTTCATAATAAACATATAACATAAAAACGCATGATAAGCCATCACACACCATAAGTAACATATATCCAACACAACATCTTTACTTCTTGCTTTCAATTCCTTTATAAAAAGAAAAGCTCTGTGACAGTTTGGCTAGGCTACCAGAGATGCTGCTGGTCCAGCTCTGCTAGTGCTGCTTACTCATTAAGTTATTTTATACCTGCTGCCATTTACAGTGGTGGACTGAGATAAGGCTATAAGGGAGGAGGAAGCCTCACTGGGGCACACTGCCACGTTGTGCAGAGGCCCCAGCGCCAGGAAGGGTGCACCTGAACACAAATACACACACACAGACACACATACAGTCTCACAGTGAGGGCGCACCGAACAGACATGCACTAGTGATCCTACTTGAGAGGAAAGAAGGGCCTGACAGCTCAGTTTGGCTACCTTAGATGCTGCTGGTGCTACTGGTGCTGACTGCTGAGTAACTACGTTATTTTTACCTGCTGCCATTTACAGTGGTGGACCGGACTGAGGCTGTAGGGGAAGAGGAGACCTCATTGGGGAATATTGCCATGTTGAGGCCCCAGTGCTAGGAAGGGCGCACCTGAACACATGCACAGTGTCACCCACCCATGTCACGAGTTTAGCCTGCCTGCGGCAAGAGGTGCAGGGCCCCAGAACCCAGACTCCCCCTGCACCTATCTCCTTGACAGCTGGCAGGCTTCATGGCCACAGCAGGGCCTGGCAGGCCTTCAGTAGATTTTTCACTGTGCACCTGTGTCCTATGACAGACACAGCTGGCAGGCTTCATGGCTGCAGCAGGGCCTACCAGCCAGGCCTGCAGTAGTTTTCACCCCCCTGTGCCCCAAGACAGACAACTGCACAAGCACCCATGTCATGAGTTTTGCCTGTTAGCAGCCAGAGGTGCAGGGTCCCAGAGCCCATACTCCCTCTGCACCTATCTCTTTGACAGCTGGCAGGCTTCACGGCTGCAGCAGGGCCTAGCAGGCCTGCAGTTTTCACCCCCCTGTGGCTCGTCTCACACAAGTGACATGAGTTTTGCTTTCAGGACTTTGACGTGCAGTTTCCCTGAAACCCCTGCACCTATCATCTTGAAACTTAGCAAGCTTCATGCCTGCAGAAGGGGCTACCATTCCTCCAAGGTTCATCCAAATCAGGCCAGAAATGACAAAGTTATAGATATTTCATTGATTCCCCATTATACTCTTTAAGTGAAAGATCCACAATCTGTCATTTTATTACACAGACAAGCCTGGACCATCCATTGGGGTTTCTCTAAAATAGGGCCTGCACAATTAATGGAAGTGGGATGTGGTGGTAGAGCAATGAAGGAGCCTTTCCAGAACTCCAGAGGTGTAAGTTCAGGCTCAGCTTTGGACTCATACCAAAACTGTCCCAGTTGGCCCAGCTGAGAAGCCTAAAGCAGCTGAACGTGACGCTAGACCAGGATCGGCCAATTATTTAGGCTCCGGGCCACAGAGAATTTATGAGAGTTCACTGAACTATCGTGGGTTGGGTCAGCATCCCTCTCCCCACCCCATACAACAGGTCACCAAAACTCCGTATGTGGGATGAAGCTGTAGGCGGGCTGGGAATGGTTTAAGAACAGGACAGGAGGGCGATGCTGGGATCATGGGGCGGGATTGCAGGGTGATTACAGTGTGGTGCCAGGGCTAGAGCAGAGCCGCAATCTGCTGCCCACACGCACCTGCGACAGACACGAGTTCTGTGGGCAGAGGCATGTGGGGAGCAGGTTGCAGTTCTGCCCTGGCCTCACCCCAGCACCATGCTTTCACTGCCCCCAAATCCTGACCCCATTGCTGGGGCTGCTGAGAAATGGGGTCCAGCCACTGTGCCACCCCAGCTCCGCTCCATGCCCGGGGTGGTGGGACCAGCCACACTTGCTATGGCCCTGGCTTACCTCTGTGCTTGGGCTGGGTGGGACTGAAGGACCTGCTGCGGGCTGGACAAAATCCCTTGGCAGGTTGGATTCAGCCCACAAGCCACATTTTACCCACCCCTTGCTAGACACCACTGCCTTCTAGGTCAGTGATTACAGAAATCAGTGTGCCTTAACCACACTAGCTAGCCCAATGCACTGCTACACTCAGGGGGACCTTTGACCTTGGCTTGACCATTGATGGAAACTTCTTGACCTACATGCAGTGCAGCATGTGAAAAACAGTTAAAACAAGGGGAGAGCAAGCAAGCTAAGAATAAAGAAACGAACAACGCTAAATGGCTATAAGTCATTTTCACAAAGTTTGAGTGAGAAAAATATGAACTAGTAGGTTGTTACTGAAGTCTGAGCAGTTCAGACAACTGTTTGTTTCAGCTAGTTAAGCAATACACATTTGTTTCCAGTTGTTGTCAGTTGTTTGCAGTGAGCAAAGATTGAGAAATCAACTGATTGCACAAAACTTGAAAACATACAGGGATGAAAAATACATTCCTCAAGTGACACCCACCTGCTCCACCCAAACACATATGGATGTGACTGGATTCAAAATCATTAACATGAAAGCAAGAAGGAAGTTTGCCAAGGACTTGCAAACAATGACCAAGTGACAAAGAGCCTTTAACTCCATGATCTTAGAGGGCTCATACAAGGACTCTGGAGATGCAGTGGTATTTCAGTCGTCCACAGGCCTCGTATTGGTCATCTGTACAGAGGCAAGCTTCATCTAGAAGGCAAAAGACAGGACCTTGGAAAGTTTTCAGTTGACCTATCTGCTTTGTAAACAGTCATTCTTATCCTCCTCCTTTTAAGTTACTTATGTGAATGTCAGCGTTAATTTTAGATGTTATCCTTTGTTTATCTTAATCCAGGATATGGCTCAGATACTGCCTTGCAAATACATCACATCCATCAAAGAACCATTACACACCATTTCCGTTCTGCCCATCTCTGACAATTGACCAAGCAGAAGATTAAGATCCTCTAGCACTTGATCAAAATGGGAGGGGGTGAATGTTGTGTTGGTCATCAACATCCCTCTTAGCAAAACAAGTCCCAAGGTCCAAGGCTGCAGGTAACCAACATTAAGCATGTTCTACCTCTTGTCTACAGACCATGCTCATCACCCTGCTATCCCTGCCACACTGGTCACCACTGTTATTCTTGCATCCAGCAATCTAGCATGAAAGCATTTGTGAAACCACCACCTATAGCTTTGTTATGTGCCCATAACCACAGCATTTAGGTGCCAACACAGACCCACAAAACCAATTCTAGCCCTATCTAAAACATTCATCAGACATACAGCTGAGTCATACAGATGGGTCTGAAACACATACTTGCTGCCACTGTTGGGGTAAAACATTTATTTAAATTTCCATTCTTAGGGCAATTTGCTGATTCTGCATTTGATGGTTTGAAACAATTTTAAAACTATGCAATAGTTTTTGTATCTATGCAATAGTCATGTGGAAAAAAAACCCTTTTAGCTAGGTCCCCAGTTGGCATAGCACAGCTTAATTCCAATATGGTTCATGCAGATTTATACCTGATGAAGGCCTAGGTATAACCTGTTCCAGTAAAGGCCTTATATTGGTCATTGTCTTCTGTTGGATCCAGAAGAGATCACCTCCTTTCAGAGGCGAACCCATTGTCCCGAACTATTGGTCCTACTATGCCTGCATTGCTTTTGTATCATAGACTGACCTAGTAGTCTGTTATCCATCAGATAACGATTGACATGGACAGTTGGAGGGGAAAGAGGGGGCGGGCATGCTTGATCTGTACTTGATAGATAAAGCTTCAGAGGTTCTTACTGCTATAAAATGCTTGAGTCATGCAAATAAATGCGGAAACCACAGGGGTCTGGGCAGTTTGTAACCTATTTCACACAAAACAATGAAGCCACAGATATCAGGGAAGGATAAGCACTATTTGACCATCTGGATTCCCATCATTTCCACACTGGAAGGATTGCATCACCCTCTAGAGGAAAGGTCTACTTCCAGAGCTTCAGGATGGAGCTTCCAGCAGGAATTAATGAGTTCACATGGGGTCTGCTGAGTGGAATATGCTCACGGAAGCAATAGTTCTTACACAGGGCATATCAGACTTCCTGTTGGCTCTCTGCCCACAGCTGCAGGCATCTTAAGATCAGTCAAAGGCAACTCTTTGAAACAGCTACAGCTTTTGCAGCACCACAGCCACCTAAGCCTAGCTCATGCTAAATTCTGTTACTGTGTCTGAACAGGATATTTAGCAATTGCTTTAGACAACCCAGTGCTTTAGATGTCTACACTGAGCTTAAAAAAAATCAGTAGGCTCATGTTAGCTAACACTACTGTTGGCAACATGGCCAAACCGTAGACTAGGTTTTAGTCTATCGCTGGAGATCATAGCTGTGCTGCCTAGGTATGTTTGGGAATGGCAACATGAAAGCTATCCTGCCATGCCTCCTGCCAGGACCTAAATGACATGCTCCTCTGAGGAAGCAAGGCTACATCCCCCTGGGCAACCTTCATAATGGACCTTGTTATTCTGTAAAGCATTTCAGTATGTTCAAAAATGAACAGCAGAAGCTGAGAACAAAGGTTTCCCTGGAACACTGGTCATGTTTGGAATTTGTATGTCTAGGATTTTAAAAGGCTCTACAAGCCTGTAAAGCAAACATTACCAAAGAGTCACAGAGTCATGTAAACAAACACCTAATTACAAGATGAAATAAATCTTACAGGTACATAACCTTTCTATTTAAACACAGTCCCAGCTGGATCCCTTCCAAGGCATCTGACCCAGTAGGGCTTGTGATCCTATTGCTTTGTTGTGCAATCAAATGCTTTCTTGGACTGGAGTTTGTTTTCTGGGGGTATTTTTTCCTTTTATTTATTTCTTTTTAATTGAATGTTGTTCTGATGAATGATGCTAGTCTGGAGTCCTCCAGTCCTGGAGTCCTTTGTGCACAGGGCACTTATGACACAGCCAGCAGCACCATGCTATTTACTTCTATCAAAGCATACCTCCCCCAAAACACACACGCAGGAGCCCTGGATTGGAGCCAGGAGCTCTGGGTTCTATTTCCAGTTCTGTCACAGGCCCTAAAAGTCACTTCCCTCCTTGTGCTTTAGTTAACCCATCTGTAAAAGAGGATTGTATTGATACTGCCTTTTTTGTAATGTGCTTTTACATGTGCTGATGGAAAAATGTTTCATGATTTGATGACAGAACAAGGAGCAACGGTCTCAAGTTGCAGCAAGGGAAGTTTAGGTTATATATTAGGAAGAATTTTCTCACTAGGAGGGTAGTAAAACTCTGGAACAGGTTACCCAGAAATGAGGTGGAAGCTCCATCCTTGGAGGTTTTCAAAACCTGGCTAGACAAAGCTTTGGCTGGGATGATCTAATTGGGGATGGTCCTGCTTTGAGCAGGGGGAGTTGGACTAGATGACCTCCTGAGGTCCCTTCCAACCCTAACTTCCTATAATTCTATGATTATTTCAGACCCAGATAATAATGACGATGGGTGACAAAGGCTCAAAATTTCCCTAATGTTAATGAAGGTTCGTATTTGGGGTTTTATAAATAATTTAACACTCTTCCCCAACACCTTCAACCACATGGTCAGTCCCAAGCATTCATGAGCCAAGTCCAGAATAAAATCATGATTTTGCAGGGGGAAGGGGTAGGAATTGCACCTTTCATGAAAAAGTGACTATCTGTTTGGAAACATGGTATAGGTGAACTCCAAAAATCTCAGAAACCAGGAGGTCTTTGAGTTAATTTTGGAGGCTTGGTTCATGGCTTCTAACTGCCTGGAGCATCATGAATCATGCTAGGTGCCACTCTGACACAACACGAGCTACAGTTTACCAGCGTGGTCACAAGAGAGGGGGACATTTGGCTTTCTTAAGATCAGAATCAGGCTGCTGCTCCATTACAATACACATGTAAGAGTTAACAGGATATTCCTGGTCTGTTGTCTGCCATAGTCACGAGTGGTAGGACAACCTCAGCTGAGGCACAGATGTAAATCATTACATAAACTTGGGAAATATAGTTTCCTAGGGGCTTGTGGGTGCTCAGGAGCTGCAAGCAGGAAGCTGGAAGAGAAATTAGTTGGCTGGGCCAAGACTGAGGCCTAAGAACAGAACAGTAACTCCTGGACTGCGAGGGGATTATGACTGAAGAGTTAGGAACAGAAAGCAGACATTCACCTTATCTCATAATCTTCAAGACAGGGCTCATGAGACCCAACTAACGAGATTCAATTAGTTGACTGATGATAATTTTAACCAGTTCACAAGACAGTTATCCATTACTTATCCAAAAGAAGGGATAGAGCAGTTCCATACACTTTTACACCACTGTATTTATACTCCGTTGTTGATAACATATAGGGTACTCTCTTGCATTACCTCAGACTTCATGCATTTTTTCATTTATCTTGCCCTGTACACATTCCAAAATGTAGCAAACGACAAAGACATACACACATCTTCCCCTTATCTCATTCTGTAGTCTTCACTACCAAGGTCATAAATTCTGTTTTTAGGTATGTCCTGCAATTAGTACAGAGGTTATGATAGTTCAACTACTAATACATTTCCATGGTAGACTTAGTGTGAATGCAAAACCTTCTGGGAATCTATGTTTATACAACTAAGCATAAGTACAACCTACAGAAGTTTTTTATACTTACAACTATATGAATATTTGAATACTTGTCCTAAAGTGTTATTAATACAGGGATATATAGACATTGGAATGATGTATTATACACACACAACAGGGTTATAGAGATACACACAATACATTGGTAAAGAAGGTAGTGGGGTAAGGCTGACTAATGTGTTATATATTAAGTAGAGTCAATACAGTTGGCAATGTAATCATAGGTGGAATGGGAGCTGGAGGGGGAGGGTAGCTACACCCACCTTTTCAAATGGCTGCCAAGAGCATGTGATATGCTGATGAAGTCATGATAGTGCTCTGCCCACTTCCAGCTCAGATTTGGAAGCTAGAGGACTGGCAGGGAACCTGGTGTTCATTTTTTCCCTTCCTTAATCCACCAAATGAATCCACTAAACAATAAAAATCTACTCCAACAGTCAGTTATGAGATACCATCTTTTTAGGAGTTTTACACCAGCCCCAGGAGGGCACTCCCTACACCAAGCTATGTCTCCCATCCCCCAATCAACCATCCCATCTGATATGAAAGTTGGCTTTGTTCCTCAGCCAGACAGGGCACCCACCTTCCATCACTGCTGCTGCAATGAGGCAGGGAAGCCGGGTAGGAGAGCCAGACACCTTAAAGAACCTTCATGAGGGCTCCTGGAAGGGGAAGCAAAGTAGATGGATGGTTATTGGGTGGGTGGTTATGGGAGGAGTCAGATTTGGGGCACTGAGTGGGGGAGGACAGGATTGATGGAGTACTTCTCTGGGGACAGAAAGTAATTATTTTGCCAAAGGAGTATTACACACATTACTCATGGAGGTAATATCTCAGAGGCATCTCTGATTCTAGTCTCATCACTTTCTGATCAGCAAGTTTCATTTTGAGCCACAGCTACTCTGAGCTGAAAGTCAAAATGAAAATTAAGAATTTTTTTCTTGCTGCTCTATGGGTGACCTACCAAGTCAGTAAATTCAGTGGGGACCAGAAGCTTTCTCATAAGCCCAACTGCTAAAAGTGTCATTATGAAATAAACAAAACCACAGAAGTCAGCCTTGAGAAATCAACGCCAGCCCAGAGATGGCAGATAGTTGCCCTAGGTTCAATGACAGTCCCATGGTGCCTTGTAAGAGTACACTGTAGCTTTCATGTCATTTGACTTTGTGCCTGAAATGAGCCCTGGGCTGCTCTTCTCTGGCACTGTTTGTAAAGGAACATCTCAGCCTTCATAATGTCCAGCACTGTGTCCCCAAACCTTTGCCTATTTCTGCCATTGCCTCAGATTTCCTTCTTTTGAGTTCATTGGTAGCTGTAGCCATGAATGGTTTCCCTATCTAGTTTACAGCACCTCAAATGAAGGGTGATTTTATTTACAATCTGACAGAAAGAGAAGGGGGAAAAATAA